AATAAGATACTCATTGTAGTTCTCCTCTTACAGCCTAACACTGGAAGGAAGGATTCACTTCCAAAGAGAAGATTACCAAGGAAATCTAAAATCTCATTCCAATTAGGTAATTTTCATTATCAGTAATTGTGAAAAGAAGTTTAAAATATGTTTAATATTTATCATGTCCTTGTTCCTCAGTCTTTGTTCCCCTAGACCTGATGCAAGTATTTAGCATTAATAATAAACATTGTCATTGGTGTCCTAGATATTAGGGAAAAATGAAATAGACCAATCTAGAAAGAAAAAGAAAAACAAGAAGAAAACGGTCTTGAGAAGTGATTTTTGCACTGATATTTCTACAAATATGGCTCCACCTATACAGTTCTCTGCTTGAAAATCCTGTACCATTTATGGATTCCCATTGGCAAATAATTAAAATGTATGGCTTTCCCAGAGTTTAAAAATAGTCATTGAGGTGTTGGACAATATGAGCAGCCTTATTTTGAGGTAGGAAGCTAAGGCCAACGTTTGCTTAACCTCAATAATTCGGGTCCTTCCTGAACAACACTGGAATGTGCCCAGGCTTTGAAAACAACAATATCATTTTAATTTCTACTGGAATACATGGCATATTAGATTTCTTCATTCAACGTTTCATGGGTTTGATTTTCCATTGACTGTACTGTCTATATTGCCTCAGGCTTGGGTCCATTGCTATCGTTCTCTAGTGTAATCTCTGGGGTTTGATATTTGTACGTTTATTCCAAAATAAATTTCACACTGACAGGACACTGACACTTTTGATTCCCGAAGAGTCAAGAACAACTCCTTAAATTCAAGCCTGCATCATCTTATTTTGACTTTTTTTCTCAAGCCATTCTCTGCTATTAGTGGAGATTTTGCTAATGTCCCTTCTACTAGAAATACGGTTGGCATGAACTACATCTGGTGCAAGGGTGATTCTAAGACATTTCTGTTTTAATGTATTAACAATCGGGATCTGATTGGACCAAACTCTCTAACTTAGCATTGCTCTCTCTCTTCCCTTTTCTCTACAATTCCCAAGCTGGCACTGACTTCCTCGGTGATTCATGTGGAGTAAATCTGCATTCCATCTCTTCCTACCTTTTTTCTTGTTTGCACAATTTCAATCAAACAGAGGTTAAAGGATATAAGTTTCCCATCTTGTGAAGTTCAGCACAGGCTATAAATCATAGTGTCACTAGGTGGCTGAAGTGTTAAATCATTTTCAAAGTATTCAGTTAAAATGAAGAACAACGAAGACAGGCAAGTTAATAAGAAATGTATCAAGTAAAGGAGTTCCGGGAAAATGAGGCAGAGATATACACTAGAGTGTGTGGAAATGATATTTAAAAGTTTGTCACCTCCAATCCTTGAGCAAAAGAGATGGACATGTAAAATGGATTTCAAGTCCAGGTATTAATTTTACAGTAGGAAAATTGATAAAGTTTTTAAGAACCCAAAAGAGAAATGCATGAACTAGAGTAACATTGCCACAGTCAATGAAGACATCCCACCACAGATGAGTCTTAAAAGAAGTTAGCCAGAAATGGACAAAGTCTCTTCAGATGTAAGGAAAATCTTGTTTATTAAGGAGGGAAAGTAAAAATAATTTTGAAGGTCAAAATACAAGTTGTTTAAGCATTTCTGGTGAGAAAGTGGATAGTGTACTCTGTGTGTCTGACTGTTTCTGTGGTATCCAAAACTTTTGTATCTGAAGGTTTGTTCCCTTGATACCACTGTATTTTTTTTAGACAGAGTCTCCCTGTAGCCCAAGCTTGCTTGGAACTTACTATGTAGACCAGTCTGTTCTCAGTCTCAAGATCACCTGTCTCTGCCTCCCTAGTGCTGCTTTACTTTTCAACATGATGCCAACTGGTGTCTGTCCAACTGAAATACTGAAATGTTTGATAATTTCAAACAATTGCTGCAAGCAATATTTAAGGAAAGAAAACAAATGGTCAATAAAGATGGGCTTATTCAAATTCTTAATTTTGAAAACAAAAATGTGATTTTAAATCTACCTATCGTCTGTCTATCCTATCTATCATCTATCTATGTATCTACCTACCTATCTATCTATCTATCTATCTGTCTATCTATCTATCATCTATCTATTGCTCTATCATCTATGTATCATCATCTATCTATCATCTATCAATCTATCATCATCTATCTATCATCTAACCTCTATCTATCATCTAATCTATATATCATCTATCAATGTGTGTGTGGTGTGCATGTGTGTGTGTGTGTGTGTGTGTGTGTGTGTGTGTTAGTGTGTGGGAAGGGCACTGGTGACAGCTCGAATCTTCAGTTCTCTCCTTCCACCTTGTGGGTTCCGGGGATCAAACTCAGATTGTCAGCCTTGGTGGCAAGTGCCTTTACCTCCTGAGCCATTTTGTTGGCCCTAAGATTATCATTTTTAATATTAGTAATGTTAAAGCACTTCTATCTTGCTTTAAAGATTGTCATCCTTTCAAATTTTCTTTGTGGTTCATTTTAAATGTTTGTATGTTTCAACAGAACAAGACTTCCCTGTGACCTCCAGGGAACAGAAAAGGGAGGATGGCAGCGCTACCAGTCAGCCACTGGTGTGTAAATGTTTCCACGTAAAATTCTCACTTAACAGACTTTGTTTAATAATGTAGCATAGACAAAGTGAAAATGCATTTCACATTTTGATACATAATCTATAATTTAATATTTGATTTGAGAAACTTTGAAATAGATATAAAATTTAGAATATTCATACAGTATTCAGAAAGGTACTTATGAATTTTTCCCTTTGAAGAGAGGGTCAATTTTTTATTCTTTGTGCTTCAATGTATGTAAACTTCATCTGTTGTAAACTAAGGTTACATTTGGAATTTATAAATGTCATTGAATTTATGAACAATATAATTTGTTGTCCACTGAGTTCTATTTATCTTGAGGCCATCATTCCTAACAGTTCGAATTTTGCTGATTCCTATTAACATTCAGTAATTACAATGTTAACATTTTAATTTTTTCTTATGGTCTCTGATGGATTTCAGTGTTTATGTTATAGGGGAGAATAGAGTCATCAAGTTACCTCCACTGTTGATTATAAGAGAATGATGCCGTCCAGAAAGGAACAATTGATATTTGGACACAATAACATTTCACTTTACTTAATTTCAAAGAAGAACTCAGAAAATTTTAGCAAACTGGAGGCTAGACAGTCTCCGTTGTTTAGAGCACTGGTTGCTCTTCCAGAGGACTTGGGTTCGCTTCCCAGCACCCATATGGTGACTAGCAACCTTCTAATACTCCAGTTCCAGGGGATCTGATGCCCTCTTCTGGCCTTTGTGGGCATTGCACAACATGAGTGCACTTGCACACATTTCTGGACTCATACACATAAAATAAAAATAAATATTAAGAGGGCTGGAGAGATGGCTCAGCCGTTAAGAGCACCCACAGGGCAGCTATGAACCGTCCTTAACTCTGGTTCCACGGGAATCCGAAGCCCTCTTCTGACCTCTACAGCATTGCATGACACGGGTGCACCCACAAACATGCAGGCAATACACTCATACACATAAAATTAAAAAACAAATAAGATATTTAAAAAAATAAATATTAAAAATTTAAATCTTTTTTCAATATATATTTAAGATATTTTACTATTTTTATTTTATGTATATGAGTGTATTGACTGTATGTAGGTGTGTTCACATGTGTCCTGCAATGCCCACCGAGTTCAGACGATGTAAGATCCTGGGGAACTCCAGGTACCCACATTTGTTAGCTACCATGTGGGTGCTGGAAATAGATGCTGGGTACTCTGCAAGAGCAGCCAGTACTCTTAACCACTGAGCAATCTTTGCAGCCCCGCAATACACACACACATATATGTATGTATAATAACTTTATAAATGTATACATAGTAAGTTGAATATTTATGCATTCCATTTAAATTTTTATTTTCTTTTTTCACTTTTTTGAATTATGTTTTTCTAATTTCAGACATTTACCCCTCAAATCCAGGCCCCCATCCCCAATCCATGCCTTTCCCTATACCCCCACTGAACCCCATGCACTCAACCATACATGCTGAGTCCCACCCTCACAGGTATTTGCACCCAAATATCCCTCAGTGCAAAGGCATCTATCGGAGTCCAATCAGCACCCCCAGTGGTTGCATGCAAGCCACACTCTTCCCCCACACAGCAGCAACCAGCCTTAAACAGCTACCACTCCAGTACTGGCCCACAATTCACCTCCCCCTTCAACTGAGCTGACATGGGCCCCATCCTCAACACCACCTCCACCACAGGCCCACATGAACAAGCCTCCAGTGACCTGGAGGCCTCTACCTCCCTGTACTCACAAACCAGCTTTATAAGATATCTGTATATATTAGACTGTTCTTAGATGGAACTTAGCTAGTTCATAGAAATACAGAACACTATCATAGCACATAATTTGAATTACAGCATAGGAACTGGAATTCCTTTGAAATGGAGACTGACTTCTGTTCTTAAAACGGTGAAAATTTGCCTACTCCTCACTTACATAACTTTAGGTAAATGACATTCAAAATACTATTGAGCATGTGTAAATACTATTTTATAAACTGAGTGGTAAAATTTGCCTACTCCTCACTTACATAACTTTAGGTAAATGACATTCAAAATACTATTGAGCATGTGTAAATACTATTTTATAAACTGAGTGGTAAAATTTGCCTACTCCTCACTTACATAACTTTAGGTAAATGACATTCAAAATACTATTGAGCATGTGTAAATACTATTTTATAAACTGAGTGGTAAAATTTGCCTACTCCTCACTTACATAACTTTAGGTAAATGACATTCAAAATACTATTGAGCATGTGTAAATACTATTTTATAAACTGAGTGGTAAAATTTGCCTACTCCTCACTTACATAACTTTAGGTAAATGACATTCAAAATACTATTGAGCATGTGTAAATACTATTTTATAAACTGAGTGGTAAAATTTGCCTACTCCTCACTTACATAACTTTAGGTAAATGACATTCAAAATACTATTGAGCATGTGTAAATACTATTTTATAAACTGAGTGGTAAAATTTGCCTACTCCTCACTTACATAACTTTAGGTAAATGACATTCAAAATACTATTGAGCATGTGTAAATACTATTTTATAAACTGAGTGGTAAAATTTGCCTACTCCTCACTTACATAACTTTAGGTAAATGACATTCAAAATACTATTGAGCATGTGTAAATACTATTTTATAAACTGAGTGGTAAAATTTGCCTACTCCTCACTTACATAACTTTAGGTAAATGACATTCAAAATACTATTGAGCATGTGTAAATACTATTTTATAAACTGAGTGGTAAAATTTGCCTACTCCTCACTTACATAACTTTAGGTAAATGACATTCAAAATACTATTGAGCATGTGTAAATACTATTTTATAAACTGAGTGGTAAAATTTGCCTACTCCTCACTTACATAACTTTAGGTAAATGACATTCAAAATACTATTGAGCATGTGTAAATACTATTTTATAAACTGAGTGGTAAAATTTGCCTACTCCTCACTTACATAACTTTAGGTAAATGACATTCAAAATACTATTGAGCATGTGTAAATACTATTTTATAAACTGAGTGGTAAAATTTGCCTACTCCTCACTTACATAACTTTAGGTAAATGACATTCAAAATACTATTGAGCATGTGTAAATACTATTTTATAAACTGAGTGGTAAAATTTGCCTACTCCTCACTTACATAACTTTAGGTAAATGACATTCAAAATACTATTGAGCATGTGTAAATACTATTTTATAAACTGAGTGGTAAAATTTGCCTACTCCTCACTTACATAACTTTAGGTAAATGACATTCAAAATACTATTGAGCATGTGTAAATACTATTTTATAAACTGAGTGGTAAAATTTGCCTACTCCTCACTTACATAACTTTAGGTAAATGACATTCAAAATACTATTGAGCATGTGTAAATACTATTTTATAAACTGAGTGGTAAAATTTGCCTACTCCTCACTTACATAACTTTAGGTAAATGACATTCAAAATACTATTGAGCATGTGTAAATACTATTTTATAAACTGAGTGGTAAAATTTGCCTACTCCTCACTTACATAACTTTAGGTAAATGACATTCAAAATACTATTGAGCATGTGTAAATACTATTTTATAAACTGAGTGGTAAAATTTGCCTACTCCTCACTTACATAACTTTAGGTAAATGACATTCAAAATACTATTGAGCATGTGTAAATACTATTTTATAAACTGAGTGGTAAAATTTGCCTACTCCTCACTTACATAACTTTAGGTAAATGACATTCAAAATACTATTGAGCATGTGTAAATACTATTTTATAAACTGAGTGGTAAAATTTGCCTACTCCTCACTTACATAACTTTAGGTAAATGACATTCAAAATACTATTGAGCATGTGTAAATACTATTTTATAAACTGAGTGGTAAAATTTGCCTACTCCTCACTTACATAACTTTAGGTAAATGACATTCAAAATACTATTGAGCATGTGTAAATACTATTTTATAAACTGAGTGGTAAAATTTGCCTACTCCTCACTTACATAACTTTAGGTAAATGACATTCAAAATACTATTGAGCATGTGTAAATACTATTTTATAAACTGAGTGGTAAAATTTGCCTACTCCTCACTTACATAACTTTAGGTAAATGACATTCAAAATACTATTGAGCATGTGTAAATACTATTTTATAAACTGAGTGGTAAAATTTGCCTAGGAATCATCCTTAACTGCAGTTCCAGAGGAATCTGATGCCCTCTTCTGACCTCCGAGGCATTGCATGACACAAGCGCACTCACACACATGCAGGCAATGCATACACACATAAAATAAAAATAATAAAATATATTTGAGGTATTGATTCTGCACACCCCTTGAGAATAATTTAAAAAACAAAGTTATAAACTAAATGAACTATTTTTATATTATACTTCTAAAATTTTAAGCAAGTAGGTAAATTAAGAAAAGCAAATTGGGGATGGGGGTATAAAGATGATTAAGATTGAGATGTTCTATATGAAATACACACACACACAAAATAAATCAATAAAAATAAAAAATAAAAGTATGTAATATGGATCAGCAAGATGGCTCAGCCAGTAAAGGCATTTGCCATGCAAGCCTGGTGACCTGAATTCGATCCTGGAAACCCACATAAGGAAGGAGACAAAGTTGTCTTCTGACTCCCACAGAATCTCACCGGCATATGTGCTCTCACAAATACTACATGCACACACAAACATACACAATGATAGTAATAATAATTTTTCAGAAAG